GGAAATTGCGTGGTATATATGTAAATTCCCCAAATAATTAATGCTCGGCATTTTTTTTATTAATTGCTGATTAAAATATCATGAAAAATTAATTGGACATGCCATACCAATATATATGTATGTATGTATGAATGAATATGATACCAGAGTTAACCCAAATCACAATAAAAATAGAAATATTATTGCTAAATTCAAATAAGGTTACAACGATGTCTCTTCAAAAAGGAAATAAATGATAAAAAATATAAAAAAATGACACAAGCAAACACACCTAAATTGTATCACAGGGTGGTGGAGGTCAGCTAGGTGGATCAGGATGGTCGGCAGGGGTGGCGACAACAAAAGAATATTGGTGGCAGCAAGGGGAAGTGCAAAAATGTTGGAACAACAAGTATGGAGCTTGTCTATGGTGATGACAACAAGGAGTGGGAGTGGATAGCGATGGGACAACATGAGGGAGGTGCTCCATGGTTATTCTGGGCGGCTGGGCGGCAGGGCGGCAGGGCGGCAACGACACAGTGGAAAGGCTGGGATAACAGAGAGGAGGTGCGGTTTGAGCGTCAGCAAAGCTGGAAGGAAGTGGGAGGCAACTGGGAAGCTGGGGCGGCAGAAAACAACAAATAGAGGGATGTTGTGTCCGGTTGCAACATATACAATGACCAGGAGCGACGAGGGAGGATGTTGATGGAGATAGGATGAGGATAATAATCACCTTGGGAGAGAGATACAACCGAAACACAAGTCAATCCCTCAAATACAACTCTCGAAGCATACAGACGCCAACTGCTGTCTTGACAGAAATCTGAAATAAAACTTGCCAAAAACTTCTAATTCAAATCTTAATACATCCATATATAGGGAAGGATTAAAAAGGAACGAAGAATAATATGAAAAAAAAAGAATAAGGAAAACAGGACTGTTTCAACGGCCCGACTCCCGTCTCCCTTCTTTCGCTATATGTTTTCCCGCGATACTGTAACAACTGCAATACCGCGAGAAACTGTGGGGGGAAAAAGCTCCCGTGTCACACTCTTAGGCTTAGAGGAGTTTCGACTTCATTCATCGAAGCTCATGGCTCTTCCTAGCACGAAATCAAGTCTGCCAAGTTGAAGGTTGCAGAGATATTGTATCTCTCTAGTAGGTCGATCTAGTAGGTGTTGTTGTTCTAAAGCATATTCTGTTAGAATATGTATCCGTCCTTTTTTGACATAACCTTAGCTGACACTATATGTGGATGAGTATCCTTACAATCCAGGCCTCGCGCCACCAAATTTGTAATTGACTTCTTCCACTTATCGTACTCGTTTGAGTGCTTCTGATAAATAAGATTGTAAGGAGGAATTAACTCTGGAACGGAATCTATGGTGGACTGACCACACTGACGTATAACCACTTAGAAGAGGTCTCTTCTTCTTCTCTAAAAGGATTTGGATCTCATTATAGGATGTTCCATCCTACAAAGCTTTTAAGGAGATTTCCAACACTGTGATCCATCCTGCCGATCAGCTTTCAGTGGGAATACCACTGAACTGAATTTAATACCCCAATTTTTTATTATGGCTTCGAGAAGTGGCATGAAAAAGTTCCACCTCAGATGCTGGACCTCCCTCAATATGGGCAACTCAAGGAGTCTCTAGATTTTAAAGGTCTAAATCTCACGTATCTAGGCTTGCTTGGTATTTGGAATTAGTTTCTCGGACTTATGACCATCTTAGACTATTAATGTGAATTTTGATGCAGTCTCCCTTATGCCCTCAACCAGAACTATGTGCTTTTCTTCCTCATCGGTTGCAATATGATCATTCTCCTTTGTATTCTCAGTTTCTTTTTGACAACTGTGTCATTGCCCTCTTTTTCAAGAGCACCTCGCTCTGTCAAACGGGTCATTCCCCTGGTTGTGCAATCTGCTTCAATATGCCCAAATCCGTGACACTTGCAACACCTCCTAGCTAGGATAGATTGGGGAATGTGGATTGGTGCCTTTTGTTTTCCACTTTGAACTATTATCTCCTCAGGTGGGGTTAACTTGGATGATCACTTAGGTGTGCTCTGACTGTAAGATCTTAGGGTTGAACCTTGCCCGTAAGATGTGGTGGGCGTCTAGTGATGGGGTCTCTCCACTCTTGTAACTAGGATTTGAACATTCAGTGTATAGTGAGCGGGTAGGAACTTGCTCTGCATCTTTCGTTTCATCTCAGACCAAGTATTGATTATGTCTATTCCCTCACGCTGAAGTATGTACTTCAAATTTTGACACCAAAATAATGCACTTTTCTTTTGCTGGCGGCTAGTTTTTTCATCCCGTCCAGGGAGACATACTGACACTTGAAGGCACATTCCAAGGTCCAAAGTCATTCGATAACCTCATCCAAATCCATGTGGTCGTCAAAATTGGCAAATCCACCTTTGTTTCTCAATTTTGGTTTCATAGATATTCCAGATCAACTCTTCCAGATAGATGCTCTAAATTCTTGGATTCCGCATGGTGGAGGAGATTCACTGCATGCCTTCCATCTAGAAAGTCACCGTTATGGCTACGGGTGACCCATCCGGATTACCTCATCTCAAAAGTGGCAAGCCTCTATTATCGTTGGCGAGTTTCTCATTGCATATCTTCTCTAAAAATCTCTTGGACCCCTCTTTGTAAGTTCCCCACAAACAACATCATGTCCTTTCCCCTCGATCAATCTTCCGGCCATTGACTCATCGGGAGTATGGCTAGGCTTTATTTTGCGTTGGGAGGTGAAAAAGGGTAAAAATTAATTGGTTTAAGGTTTTTGATTTTGAAAATGAGCGAGGTGGAATTAGGGTTGGGGATATGTGGTAGTGGAAAGAATATTATTTGACAGTAGAAAAGAAACTTTTTGGGTTATAGTGCATGCTAAGAAATCCTATGATAGGATTAAGTTTAGGATAGTTCTGATACTAAATAATACCGATGTTAACCCAAATCACAATAAAAATAGAAATATTATTGTTGAATTCAAATAATGTTACAATGATGACTCTTCAAAGAGGAAATAAGTGATGACAAACATAAAATGACACAAACAAACACCCCTAAAACATATCCCAAGGTGGTGGAGGCCAGCTAGGTGGATCAGGACAGTTGGCGTGGGTGGCGACAGCAAAGGAATGTTGGTGGCAGCAAAGGGGAAGTGCAGAAATGCAGGGACAAGAAGTATGGAGGCTGTCTTGGGTGATCATAGCAAGGAGTGGGGGTGGATAGAGATAGGGCAGCAGGAGGGAGGTGTTCCCTAGTTGTCTTGGGCGGCAGCAGCGCAATGGGAAGGTTGGGACAGCGGGGAGGAGGTGTAGTTTGGGCGGTAGCAAACCTGGAAGGAGGTGGGAGGCAACTGGAAAGGTGGAGCGGCAGAAAAGAACAGTCAGAGTGCTGTTGTGGCTGGCTGCAGCAATATACAGCAACTGGGAGCTGCGGGTGAGGGTGTGAAAGGAGATAGGAGGATGATAATCATCATCTTGGGAGTGAGATACAATCGAAGCATCACCAAATCCCTCGGATACAACCCACGAAGTGGAAAACGGACGCCGACGGCTGTCCTAATAGAAATCTGAAATAAAACTCATTAAAAACTTCTAATCCAGGAACGAAGAATAATAGGAAAGAAAGAATAAGAAAGGAAAACAAAATTGTTTTGGGGCTCAATTCTCATCTCCCGCTTATGTTTTTCCGCGGTACCGTAGCAGCTACAGTACCGTGAGAAAACTGTGCTGGAAAAGCTCCCACGTCGGAATGCTTTAGTGAACAAACTCATCTAACTGTAAATTGCACCCTATTCTGCATATCACAAATGGTTTTAAAGAACAAGGTGAAAAAAAAAAGCATTGAATTAGATAGATTAAATACATGATAGCTTTGCACGTATAACATGCATTGCGTATTGCTATATTGATAGATTTTATATGAAGTAAAGATAGAACAAGGTGATCTAGAAAATTGCATTAAATCAAATGGTACTTTGGCTTTAAGCTGTCCTACGCTTTATGAAAGATGTTACTAAGACACTTGTTTTTTTTTAATTTCTTAGGATGAAAGAAGATGCCTAGAGGCATCCCTTGGTTGATTTAATTAAAATCAGACATTTTTTTCTATGAACCTTCTATGATTCTGGTCCTGCTCTTGTGCTTTAATTCTTGATGTTTGGCTCTAAACTTTGGTTGATCTTATCTCATACGTGTTACTTTTTAAAGCTTATTCGTACTCTGTAAAGAACGACCTATAAAAGAAGCTCATTTGTTGTTGAAAAAAAGCTCCATTATAGCTTATACAAGCTATAGTTATTAATAGCTCAATTTTCATTTGATTATTTATCTATGATCTTTCTTTATAGTGAGTACCTTTATTTTCTTTTGGATGATGTTAGTTTAGCTGCAGCTATTAACTCAATTTTCATTTGGTTATTTTTCTGTGATGATCTTTCGTGGAGCTTACTCCTGTTTTCTTATGAGTTATATTTGTTTAGGTTGATGAAGTTATTTCTTTGTAGTTCTCTAATGATTTTATTTATGGAATATTGTGCTCTTTTGTTAAAAAAATTTCTTTTTGTTTTTTAATGTCAAACTACAAAACTAATTGAATAAAATCAAGCTTTAGAAAAATCATGAAGAAATTTATGCTAAAGGACAGTAAATTTTAACTGCACAAACTAGTATCACCACGTCTAGCCCAAGTTCATGAGAGTTTTGAACTCTGCATGGGCTTGATAAGAACAGAATTAATTTTTAAAAGTGAGTTATGGTTATCCTTCATCTGGTTCAGATTATAACTATTTAGATTAAGTATGAATAGAGCAGCATTTAGCTTAGGTTCTTGATGCCCGTCTCTATGCATAATGTCATCTTTTCTCAGCGACAAGCATGTTACTCTTAGGACTCTCCTATGTATTTATGTCTGGCTTTGATTATCAGTCCTTACTGAGAACAACTTCAGCTTATCTTGTATGCCTATCTAACTTTTGGTTTGGGCATTTCCTTATCAGGGAACTTACAGCATTCAGATATTTTCTCTGGCTATTCTTTTATCAAGCATGTTTATCTATAATCAGGTAGAAATTTTTCCACAATATTAGATTTTCTGTTGCATTAAAATGAAGGGGCATTTACATAAATACCACCCAATTCTTATATATTTACATATCTAACTCCTAAACTTTACTTTCTATACATTTATACCTCCCAAATCTTCATATCACATCAAAAATACCACTATTTTACCTTTTAAAAATGGAATATGCCTTTTAAAGTATAGGCAAGGTGGCATACATGTATAAATTGAAGTCTGGGTGCTAAATATGTAAATACATAAGAATTGAGTGGTATGTATGTAAATCTTCCTAAAAACTAGTGTCCATATACATATATTGAATCTTTTTATGCTTCCTACCAAGCTCATAGTGACTGACCCCAGTTGCTGTGTTCCCGGCATATTTAGATGGGCGGTATTGATGAGGCTGCACTTGATCGTTTATCTCTAGTTACACAAATGACTAAGCATATTCGTGTTCGGGCTTCTGGTGGGAGGAGTACAACATCTGAGCTGGGACAGTTTTCTCCCGTCTTTGCCTGGTTGCTAAGGGTAATCATACTTGGTTTACTGGATTACATTGTTCTTTGTTCTACTTTCTTGTAAAAAATGTCATATTATTTTATGATTTCAGGACTTCTATTTGGATTTGGTCGAGGAGAACCAAAGAATCACTCCGCGTGACTACCTAGAGCTGGCCTTGAGGCCTGTGCAAGGAGGAAAGGATGTGTCAGCAAAAAATGAGGTAAATAATTTCAGAAAAGAGCCATCTTCTTATCAATCATTTCTTGTTATTCTAAATTATTTATCCGTAGATTCGGGAGTCCATCCGTGCGCTCTTCCCTGATAGAGAATGCTTTGCTCTTGTGCGCCCTTTAAACAATGAAAGTGATCTTCAACGCTTGGACCAAATTCCTGTATGGAAAATTTTGGCAGGCTGACCTCACTCTTTTGTTTATATTTTCTAATCCGATATACATTTTGTGATGCTTATTTTTATGATGCAGCTTAATAGATTAAGACCAGAATTTAGGTCTGGCTTGGATGCTTTGGCAAAGTTTGTTTTTGAGAGAACCAGACCTAAACAAGTCGGAGCAACTGTTATGACAGGTCCTATTCTCGCTGGCATCACACAGACATTCGTGGAAGCCATCAACAAGGGTGCTGTACCCACAATATCTTCCTCTTGGCAGGTTGGTTTTGTTGTATGAATTAATCTCACTTTTTATTTCAATCCTCTGATAGTAGAGGTATTAAATTGGACAACAGAAAATAACTGGAACTACATAGACACATAAAATAAGTCTAAGGATCATTTGGTTATATTCTTATTTACACACTGACTATCCTTTTTTATCAAGTAGATCAAGTGTGTATTTTTGTTGACGGTAAAAGATATCTTTTTAACTTTCAAGTAATATCCATCCTGAGGAAGTACCAGAGTATCCTGGTCTTTCACTTCATATTCCCTATTGAGCTTTCTTTTTAAGTCATAGATCTCCTCTTTATTTTCACCTGTAATCACAATATTTTCTTTATATGTTATTAAGGTTGATATGTTTTATAAATTTTCCAAAATTTACATAAAAATGTGACCACTTTTCCTTTATTTAAAATGGATTGGAATTAACTATGATTTGCCCACCAAGCATGAGGAGATTTTTAAGACCATTAAAGGAATGTTGTGGTTTCTTTCCTCATCTGATTTAAAATGTGGGAATGCTTTCATATGAACTGTCTTCTAACTTACATTTGAAAAATAATTTTTTACGTAAGTTGATGAAGTTCTCAATCTAAGTTACTAATAAGAGAACTAACCCATTTTTGTAGTTTCTCACCAGAAGCACAAGTTTTTTTATAGTCTATTTCATATGTTTAAGAAAATCCTCACCGGTCATGCTATGTATTAACCAGTAGTCTCATCAACTTTATATTAATGCTAAATGGCAAATCTTTATCTCTGTATAATCGCCTTTTTCTCTTTAGCTTTAGACATCAATTTTTTTTTTTTTTTCATTTCGAGCTCTTATTTACTCATGTACGACCTCTTTCCTTTTTTTGTATTGAAGGGCCTCATAAATATTTTTTTGTTTATCAAGTTTATCAATCATGGTAGTGATTGTTCTGAATTATAGTGATAACTATGAGTATGCTACGTGGTTAGAAATAGGGTGTCCGGTATAGGATCTTATCCCTTTTCTGAAAACAATAAATAAATCCTAGCTCGTAGTTTCATTTTAATAGTTTTGTATGTTTGATGATTGGTAGTTTTGATGAGCTTTGGGTCTCCCTGAGTACACCATTTTGTTCTTTTTTGCAATTAGATCTTGATAAGACTAGTACTTTTACTGATGTTGAAGGAAAGAGAGTCATCAGAGTTGAAGCATGTTGAAAGTTTGGGTCAACTTGAGAGAGGTAATGAGATGGCCAAAGTAAAATTCTAATGATGTTCTTCCTAAGATTTGTGTCTTGTTGGGCAATGAATAACTAGTTTCAATGGTGACATGTAATGAGATAAAAGAATTCAAGGTGGAGGAATAATATTATTACCTTTTGTGGTGGGGAATGTCAAATGAACACTCATTTGGAGCCTGCATTAAGCTTGCTACTTGCACACTGATAATTTTTTTATGGGTAATTCTTAAGGGCACATAGGTATGTCTAGAGTTCAAGTGTTTTGAATGATAGATGATTTATTAGACTGGTTGCAATGTGAATGGCTACTCCCAAATGAAGTTTAGAATGAAGTTAGAAAACATAAGAAATTGAGAAACCTTAAAAAGGTGTTAGTTTTATCTTCCAACAATTTTGTTTTATGGGGTGTATGAAGGCAAGAGAGATTTGATGTGGTGTGTTGTTGTCATCAAGATATTGGGTAAACTCTTCGAGAAGTATCGTTTGTGTACCATAAATAGTGATTTGAAGAACATTTTAGAGGGTTTTGTGAATTTTTTTGAACTAATCACAAGCTTCTAATTTTTCTTTTTTATGAAAGACCCAACTAGCTTTTCTATGGTCATTTATCAAGGAAATGAACCACCATGTTCTTAGCAAACCATTTAGGGTGCGTTTGGGGCAGCTGCAGCTGTCTGAAAAAGTAGTAGTGAAGTTGTTGTCTGAAAAAAAACGACCGTCAGAAAGTTGTCAGAAAGTAGTGTTTTTTATTGGAAAATGCAATTGTAAATTTGTTGTGTTTAGTTGTTTATTAACAAAAGATAGAAATGCCCTTATGTGCAGTTGTATGAAAAATATACAGTAAACACTTAAAGCAGTTAAACAATAAATATTGTTATTTTTACTCATTATAATACACATTAAGAGTTTACACATTACTTTAAACATTTCTAAATAAAAACTAACATACAACATCATTTCACCCATTAACATGCATTTGTAATATGCTTTCGCAACCTAATCATCTCTGCAGCACCTCATATTCCCAGCATCTTCCGCATTCTATGTACAAGACTCAATTAAATCACAATTAACTTGTGATATTGACTGCCCTAGGCTATATTTATATGCTTCAAGAGGGACGTGCCGATTTTCATCTGCACTAATTAAATCAATATCATTGAATGAAGGATGTCGACAAATGTAATTATGAAGCGCCATTGTAGCAAACCCAATCTTCTCTTGCTGAAAGGACATATCCCGTAGAATGCCTCATTTTTTTTCGAAACCCTAAAGGTCCTCTCAATACTATCACGTAAAGTAGAGTACTGTTTCTTTAACATTTCTTTGCTTCCCCAAACTATAAGTATTTTAAAATTAGGAATATGATATTTTGCATTAGAAAATTACTTGAAAACTCTTTTTGTAATGTATATTTAGCATCAACCAAATAATATTTTCTTATTAAAGTATAATCATTAGCATTGTAAAGAAAAAATTATTTAATTTATTTATACACAAGCAAACCTCGAGACGACATGTGAAAATTGTATTGATGATTTAACGTAGCAAATTTGAATATACGACTATTATGTGCACTATTTTTCTCATCCAACCATTTCAAGTGAAACATATGTTAAAATGACATACAACCATAACATTTTATTTTGGTGAACCACGACCGACCAATATATGCAATAGTCTCACTGTTAGACATGTGCATCTGCATGTGTTCCGTCATTTATTCTAACACAATCCTAAGTCATCTAAATAACATATTAGAGTTACTACGTATAATTTGTTTTTGGAAAATATAAACAGAGAAATCTACCTTCAAATATGACATATAAAGTTGATATTGTGAAATCTTTGTAGGCGTGGCGTTTGGAATATTGAGTCTTTAGGTCTGATAATCTTTGAAGATAAGCTGACAAGAGCATTAAAATTAATTGAAAAATATCTACTAATTACTTCGAATGAGTGTTGGAATCACTCCACAGCCGTCTTTATAGAGAGATAGCTAAAACTTCTCTTGAAGTCATCCTAGAGGAGTTGTAGAGACCATAATCTTGGTGCAATTCTTTCAACTTATAAAGAAATATAGCTTGTGTCATAAGAAACACACGAAATCTTGTTGGGTTTATCATCAATGTATGTTGTTGTCATTTAGGTAGTGCAAGTAATATATGAGTTATATTACTCAGACATGAAACAAAATGCAGCTGTAATAATTCTTTTACATCTTTCTCAATCACGGTTATTCATAGTTGTCATTCTAAAAGAAATCAAACAAAATTAAAAAATAAAATGTCACTACAAAACTATGATTTAATATGTAAATCTGAAGCTAAAGAAATACATATCATGAATTCGAAAATAATATATAAAAAAAGTCAAAACACGGATACTTTTTAAAACATACAATCATACATAACAGAGCACATCACTGAAATGATAGCACTGATAAACACACACTCGTACATAAAAAGTACTGATACATGATAACACTGATAAACACACTCATACATAAAACATACTGATACATTCAAACACGTCATAGAGGCGCCCCTATGGGTGCTAGGGCATCCCAACACCCAAGTGTGGCACCCTTGTGCCACCAGGGGCACCTAGTAAACCGAGCACTTGGAAATCTAATCCCCTAAATGGGCGCAACCACGCTGCAAGTTGGTCGTTTGTAGGTTGAGAAATAGAGTATTCGGAAACTCAGCGCTCAGGACGAGCGATCCAACTCCCATAAGAATAACTCCAGACATAGCGTGTGGAAAGGCATCGCCCGCTTCAGCGCTAGGAGCGGTTTCTCTTTTGATCAGGATTTAAATCATCGACTTCTATATGAGGAATGCATCTTTCGACAATGCATGTAACAAGAGCGGGACAGAGTGAGCAGTGAAACGAGTTATGTGTTGGATTTATACAGTTTGCTCTTGTGCGATCGAGAGAGGAGTGTTTGTGAGTTTCATGCTTGTCGAGAGGAACTTTGCAGTGGTGTAGTCTGTATATTTCTCCTCATTTCATAGTGGAATTTTTGGTATGGTGTAGCTCCGTGATTTTTTTTTCCCGTTGTCGGGTTATTTTACATTAAAATTTGTGTGATTTTTTGGATGATTCTTTGTGTTGTGCGCTTCCGCTTCTATTTATTTATTTATTTTTTTTTCCGGATCACTCGGATCGGTGTATTTTTGCGTGGTGTGATTTACTTGTGAATTGATCAAATCCGGTTTCTACATCTCAACCACTTGAGTTCTCAATTTTGCAAATTACGTTCTTTATTTTTTATCTTATTTTATAGTGTTAAGCTGTTTTTTATATCTACGTATAAATTTCATGGCTATTGTACTCTGCTTCATCATAAGTTCTTGTTTCTAGGAAATATGTTTGAAAAAAAATAAGGTGCAGCCTCTTTCTGATTTTACTCACTCGAAAGCATGATATTTTAGTGGGTGCTTCCAATTCTGGTTCCTAGAAAATATGTTTCAAGTATGCCTTAAGCTGGTTGTCTGATAATCATAACAAGATCTAAAGTATAATGCATCATAAGCAGTAATAGGATGAAAATTAGATTTAATGTGATCCTCTTTATTTTTCACAATGAAAACTTAATCAAGAAAGATGACGGTTGGTTTTGATGGTTTGAAATTGAAGTTGGCTTTTTTTTTAATTAGAAATATGAAAAGCTGTCCATTGAGTACATGCATTCTCTTATTTAGTCTTAGGTGCATTTTCATACATACGACCTAATTCTTATATATTTACATATCTAACAGCTAAACTTTGTTTTTCACATTTATACCAACCAAATCTTTCATATCACATCTAAAACACCACTATTTGAACTTTTAAAATGTGAAATCACCTTTTCATGCATGGGTAATGAGGCATATGTGTAAAAATTGAAGTTTGGATGTTAGACATAAGAGTTGAATTATACTATGTAAATCTATCTTACTTTTATGGTGACATGTTTTACAGAGTGTTGAAGAAGCAGAGTGCCGCCGAGCATATGACCATGCTACTGAGGTTTACTTGTCTTCCTTCGACCGCACAAAACCAGCTGATGATGTAAGAGTTGTTATGCTTGAGAATAATTTCTAATAAATTAAGTACCTTATTTATTTATGTATTCTTTAGGCCATTCTTAGAGGAGAACATGAAGTTGCTGTTCAGAAGGCACTTTCTGCTTTCACTTCTGGTGCTGTGGGAGCTGGCTCAGTCCGTTTAAATTATGAAAAACTTCTTCACAATTTCTTTAGAAAGACTTTTGAGGTAAGGAGCATTGAGAAGGCGGCATTTGTTTCTCTGTTTCTTGGATTGATTAACTTCCATTTTATTCCTTACTGGTATTTTTTTAGCTTGTGCTGAGTTGTCGTGTGAACGTCAATATTGATTAAGTTGTGATAACTAGTTTAACATTATTTTGTGTTGGATTAACATTTTTTTACAGTCTCAAGTGAATGAAAGAATTTTGTTCATTCCACACTTTCATATCATATTTTGAAATATTGTTCGTGATAATACTTCGGTGAGAATATTTACACGTAGCCCATCTGTAACACAAATGAAGTACATGTTAAATTACTATCTTGATTTTTATTAATAAAATGACCATCCCCTTCAATATTTTTTCAGTTCTGTTGCATGAGATTATGCGAAATATTTTTGGTTGACTTGTTATGGTAGTCTTAAATGACTTTTTTAGTCAATGTTTATATATTCCAAAATAATTTTTAGTTATATCAGTTTGCAGATTTCTAATACTGAGATCTAAATTCAAAATTTGAGCTAGACTTTAACATTATATTTTATTTTGTATTCCTCTAAGAATGAGATTGCCTCCTAATAATATTTGATATCCTGGAAGTTGATCTATTATCAGCTAAAGATCCTATAAAATTGGCATCAATATTTACTTCAAGTGTCAGATCCACTCTCATTTTGAATAAAATTTCTTTTTTGGAATTCCTTTTAGATGTTAAATTTGATGTAAATGTACAGCTCTAAGATGTGATTCTTTAGTATTGTGCATGAATTAACTTACCAATTACTGCATCAGCTTTCGTATTTCATCCCGCAAGCCTTTAATAGGAGATTTTTTTCTATGGCTATTTTTTTAAGCATCTCCAAGTTTATGATTAAATTTCATGGCGCTCGTGACAAACTTACATCTTAATTTGTGCTTTTTTAATACATTATGCATTTTTTTTGTGGCATAAAGGTCCCATGTCGAGATTGTGTAACCTTGATGTTAAGGAAATTCTTTAACTTACCTAATTTGTCGACTTCAAATTTTCACTATATATTATGATGATGTCGTTGACATAAACTAGTAATGTGGAGACTACTCCTGAAGCCATGTGTTTGACGACTAATGTATGTTTTTTTTTTACTCTATTTGGATCCCATGTTGAACATTATTTCAGCAAACCTTCTAAACTATGCTCTTGTAGATTACTTCAATTTATATAATATTTTTTGTTACTATATGAGTCAATTTTCAGTAGGAACTAGATATGCATGTCCTTTTCTAGATCTCTTATTGCATTATTTCAATTTTTATTATTTGAAGTCTTAGACATGATTTTTGGGATAAAATGGTCTGAAGGCCAGTGAGGAAGGATTTATTGATGTTAAATATATTTTTGTAAAATAAGAACAGGTGTAAGGGATGTTCATTTGAAGTACTTTTATTTTGCAGGTTAATGGTATCCCTTAGCAAGTTCGTTGTTAGGGATTTATTCAGTTGATTGGATTTGTGTCGATTGAAAGTACTTCTTGGAGTAAACCTATAATGATTGAATAGCTTCTGGTATAAACTTGATGTTTGTAGGAGTCTCTGGTTCAGGGTTGGAATTGTTTGTTGTTGTAAGGGGTAAGGAATGACAATTTAAGAAAAATAATTTATTTGTGAATAATATTTCTTTTTTGGGATAAGTAGCAATAAAATATAAATCTTACTGATGAAAAGTGAGTAGCAAACACATACATCTTTCTCATGGGTGCTGGTAGCATTTATATCTTTCTGGATTGGAAGAGTAGGGAATAAAAATACATATAATTGCTTTTGGATATAATTTTTCTTTATTTTGAGGATGTGTATGGACAAAGGCAACATTTTCAAATAGATTGAGAGTAAATTTACTTGAGGTGTAAAAACATTTGCCTGAGATTTTGAGTAGAACGCTTAAAATGAGGGACTTGTTTATGTTGCGAGTGGCTATTAAGACGGCTTTTCCCCAACATTATTTTGGAACTTTCTTTTTAGAAAAGGATAGCTTTTGTAGTGGTAAAAAACATCATTTTTTTTGTTTAATCACGCCATTTTGTTGAGGTGTATAACAGGAGGTCTCACGTATTATTCTTTTTTCTTGAGAATTTGAGGGGATGGTTAGAAGTTTTTAGCATTATAAAATCTCAATCCTTTAATTTCAAAATTAAATTGATTTTTTATTATATTTAGAAAGATGGTGCTTATTTTCTTTTGATTTTTACTAGCAAGATCTATGATCACGGGTATATCCATCAATAAAAGATATAAACACTAAGCCTCAAATATGCTAGTGTAGAAGTTGGTCCCCATATAATCACTATGAGTAAGAGATAAATATCTTTCGATTACTGCACTACTTAGTGAAAAATTAATATACTTATATTTTGCTAACTCACAAACGTCACAATGAAATTCTTCAATATTAATGTATTTTTAATAATAAAGACAATTTATGTTTGAGAATAACAAGAGAAGGTCAAGCCATAGGTGTTCGGGTCATTTCCTTTCATTATTAGATTTGAAAGGTTCCAACAAGAAAAAGTATTTGGAAAGTATTTGGAGTTTTCATGATAATTGGATGCCTAAAGGTGATGGTGATTGTATTTTTCTTTAGCAAGTGCAATCATTTTCTTTATTTTTCATTCCTTAGTGAAAAATTAATATACTTATATTTTGCTAACTCACAAACGTCACAATGAAATTCTTCAATATTAATGTATTTTTAATAATAAAGAAAATTTATGTTTGAGAATAACAAGAGAAGGTCAAGCCATAGGTGTTTGAGTCATTTCCTTTCATTATTAGATTTGAAAGGCTTCAACAAGAAAAAGTATTTGGAAAGTATTTGGAGTTTTCATGATAATTGGATGCCTAAAGATCATGGTGATCTTATTTTTCTTTAGCAAGTGCAATCATCTTCTTTATTTTTCATACCTGAAATGTATAATGTGAAGGGGAAAATGTAATACTACATTTAGAATGTTTGGTTAACTTTTGATGAATAGTTAGTTGGTGAATAATTTGAATGTGTTAATACATCAAAGTGTGAGGAGTTTGCTTATAAGAATGTTTTCTTGGTCAAGAATGACTCCTGATTTCATCAGAGATGGTTATTTTCCTGTTGTTAGGATGGTAAATATAGAAAATAAATATGTTGAAGAGTTGTCATATGGTATGTAGCTCTGGAATCAATAATCCAGGAGCGAGGATTGGGCATTTTTTAGACTCTAAATTATGAGAAGAGAAGCTGATACTTGGGAATGCAAAAGGACGAGCACATGTTATACTAGACTTTTATAGTGATACCAACAAGTGTTTTAACTTTTCTATTTTTTTTGTGGAACTTAATAAGAGATTTGTTGGCACTCCATTTTCGAATTGACGTTATGTATGCATATCTCTATTATTTTTTTGCCCTTTTAGTTTTATTCAATTTTTGCTTATTTGCTTAGCCTTTAGCGTCTTTTTTCCATTTCGAGCTTTCTCGTGATATGTGCACACTAAAGAATCTCTATGGATCTTCTTTTCACTCTGTTAGTGAATAACACAACCCCTCTGTAAGAAGCTTCCCTTCGTTTCCATAATTTACATATGTCAAATGATGAAAGACACCATGGAGGTGGCTACAACTACAACTTCCTGCAGGAAGGAATAACAGTTGAAATCTGCAGGGGGGAAAAATGGCAAAAATAGCTCT